AAATTGTGAAAGTTGATGTTAGTGATTATAAATAGTAAAGTGCAGTATAATTGAATTGTGAATTACTGAGAAAATAAAGGACATTAGATAGAATCTTTATAACGAAAGAAACTGCAAATTAAGTTGGCGAGTTTTTATTTAACAATCCAGAGATCGTACCCGAAGGATTTAGAAAATAATCGAGGTTGATTTAATAAAATCGTAACAATATATATATATATATATATATATATATACAAGACGTATAAATATATATAGGTGTGATCAGGAAGTTCGCGAGTTACGTTTGTCTGATTATCGCTTGTTTTCTGTTATGTTGGAACACCTGTCTGTCATATATGTTGACAATATCCAGAAATTCCTTCATGAACGATCTCAATAAGGAGATTCACTGTCAAGTAAATTTTCATAAGCGGAATAAGACAGAAGTGCGCTTTGGATCCTGCAACCTCTCCTCTGCAGAAACAAAGCACAATCAAATCATTGTCAAATCTGACGAAGCGGGACGACTGAGTTGAAATTTCAGTCGGTGATCACACCTCGTCGAAACCGAAGAGAAGCGTCAGCTATTTTAGCCAACTTTTTACACTGCATCTTTCGGTTGGCAAAATGAAGCAATAAGAGAGCCGGCGTCGGTGCAAACTGCCTTACACCAGCGCTACGTTTGATTTTTCAGGGAAGATGTTCAGAGCATCATCGGGAAGGCGAAAGCCTAAAAATCCATTTACGGTATAATGCTGATTCTCCAAAATTTAGGACCAGCGGGAGGGAGAAGACTTTCGGACTAAGGTCACAAACTTGTCTCCGATCACTTTAACAATACTTGACATGTGGAAAATGGGTAGGGTGGTTTCGCTACTCCAACCGGAGAAATCGGCCAACAAAAATGAGCCATACCGACCGATATCTCTTGCCTAAAAATTCCAAAAACCCAGCAATATGTCCTCTAGGTCAATATATGTGCAACATTTAAACATTTATCTCTGGTTGGTAAATGAACAAAAAAAAATATAGTAATTTATTGACAGTTTATTTTATTATGCTTTCTATCCAAAATAAGCTAATTAAATTAAATGTTATTAATATAAAAAACTAAGCGAAAAAGGTACAACGTAAATAGCAAAAGTGTAAAAACTTGCAATGTTTTGCTACACCATTGTAGAGAAACTACAACACAAAAAAGAAAAAAAGTGCACATAAGTTGAACTCATTGCCTACCAACCCTATGATAACTTAACTACGCTTTTGGATGCAATATGCAATGAAAGTGGGATTAAATTCTAAGCCGTAATTAAATCATTCATATTAATGTATTACTTTTTGGTAAAGCGAAACGTATAAAGAATACTCACGTTTAAAATGACCGGAAGAAAAATGCAAACTTATATGCAAATCTTTTCCACTAATTTCAAAGTTCTCTCGTATTTTTTTTTTTTCTTTGGATCCTTCTTTGGTATTTTCATCTTTTAACGCTATTGAAGAAATTTTTTTTTTTTTTGGCTGCTGTAGGGTTTCCCTAAAAAAATATAATAATTTTACTATTCATATAGTAACAAAAAGAGGTATAAACGATAATCATCTTACTCTATTAAGGAGGCATTAATTTCTTGTATTGCCTTCACGTAATATATATTATGCTTCCCTTCGTAATGTTCTTGAATCAAAACTTTATCGGCCATTTCTAATGGACATTTTACGTGTGTTGCAATTAGATACCAATGCCGCCACCAGTGCAAGATAAGACGTAATAGACCAGCAGTAAAGCAAATGCAAAACCAGCACAGCATAGAGCGTAGTCGTGAATGCTTATAACCTGTTATTTGCATTTCATCATCTTCGCCAACATTTAATAACCCAACACTAGGTTTACGATCTGAAAAAGAAACATATAACGTATAATTAGTAAAAGCAATTTACTAAAACCAAATATGACTAATTTCGAAGTACGTAGATCTAAAAAGTACGTGTGGTGTGTACCTGTATTATGATTAATATTACCAAACATTGAAGGTGAAAACTGCAACTAATATTGTAATTTTTAGTTTAATTAACAAAATAACGCCGCCGATGAGTTTTCCTCTTGTTTTTTTGGTATGTTAAGATTACAGCATTTTATATTAAAAAAAAACTTTTGAACTTATATTGTTTATATTATTTACAAACAATGCTTTGAGGATTTTCTTGGAAAGTGTGATATTGACATGCTGCGTTTCAGCATCATAAGACACTTGAATTATTTGACTGCAAACAAAATTCATAATCAATACAAAACTCTCTTAGTTTTTTGTCATAATCTGTACCATCGTAAATTTCTGCCTTTGACACAATACAACATTGGCATCAAAGTTTACTCTGTGTTATATTATAGTTAATTTTTCTGTACTCAATACTATCAGGATTCCAAAGTTAACTTTTAAAGAAACTACAACGATAGCTCAGATTTTTTTCTTGCGCTAACCAATTTCTAAACAAGATACCGAGAGGTGAATTGTTAAAAACATGTCAACATATCGCCTTATTTCGAACTAGCAATATAGCAATTTGCGAAAAAAAGCAAGAAGCTCCTCCGGGGTACGAAATTTCTTGGAGCCCAAAAATTTAAAATGTTTTATATTCGGCTGAGAGGAAACTTAACTCAAGCTCTACCAGGTCTTGTGCTAACTTGGCCGCAGCTGTGGACGATAAAGTGTAAAAAACCACAAATGGTGCGCATCGATCAAGCATTTCAGTTTATTGAAATTGATGAAAGAAACTTATATTTTGCAACGGCACAAGCAAGCCTCGAAAAAGAGCTTGCCGTGAAGGACAATACACTTGGTATTGTCCTCGATATCGAACGGCTTTCAAAAATATTCTCCCTGCCTTCGAAATAGTGGCTCTTCAAGAAATGAGTGCAACAGCCCATAGTGAATCCCGTAAAGTCACTTCTGAAAAACAGGATCATCTTCCCAGAGATAGAAAGCGGCAGCGTCACCAGACATACAACAATAGGCGTTTTATTGTCATTACTGTGGTGCTATACAGCTAGCACGCTTATTAGGAAACTGCACAACACAGGTAGTGGTGTTGTGGCATACACTGACGACTTGGCCCTGACAGGCAAGCACCTACAAACAGTAAGCGATTTACTCCATGTACCTCAATGGTTTTATTTCCCAGGAGGTACAAACCGCATGTCTTTAACCCACCTAAACTAAATGGTGTGGAGAATACCCTCTCTACCGAAGTCAAATATTTCGAGTTAATCTTACGTAGCAAACTAAACGGGTGGCGGAATACATCAGATAGATCAACGGAAGCTATAACGGCACTCTACGCCAGCAAAACGGTGATTGGAAAGAAATGGGGTCTAAGACCGAGTATCGTGCACTGGATATACACATCCGTAGTAAGACCAATCCTAATCTACGGAGTCACCGTTTGGTGTCCAGCACTCGATAAAATTACCTTCTTGAGCAAATTAAAGAGAGTTCAACGATCGGCGTCTATCGTAATAACGGGAGCATTGTCACCAACCCATTCGAAAGCACTACAAATTATTCTCAACTTTTTTGCTCTGGACCTAAACGGGAAACTACAAGCGGTTTACAACAAAATACGATTGAATGCAGCTTGGAAGAATTCTAGAATAGGACAAACAAAAATACTTTCTCTTACAGAAATTTCGAAGGAGCTGGACTAAGCCACCTCCAGAGTATGCTTCAAAAATCTTTTCTTCACAAGAACTCCAAACAGATGCGAATGGAAAATTTAGCTGCGGAATTTATTCTCCCAGGCTCTCATTAAACATGAGCAGTAGAATCCCAGACCTCTGCAGCGTTTTCCAAGCGAAACTCTATGCTATCATTGAGGCCGCGGAGTGGATTCACACATCTACGGCAGCAGGACAATCGGTAAGAATATACTCCGACAATCAGGTTGCTATCAGATCTTTTGAATGTAATGGTACCATAAAATGCAGGAACTTTCATAACAAACTCTCAACTAAATAGAGCACTGCCGTTGTCTAGGTATACCAAGCAATTGCATGGAAGATGAACTTGCAAAAAACTCTTCTACCCTCGATAAAACATGAACACGATGCAGGTTTACCTCTGTACACGGCGAAGTACATGCTTAAACTAGCCTTTAACAGGGAAACTGATTCAAGATGGTTGTATGAGATCACGTGCAACGCGAACAGATAGATATGGCCGAAGTTGGACTCGAAAAAATCGAAACATCTTATTCTTCGAGACCGATTCTCCATAAACATAACGACTGGTTTAATAACTGGGCACTGTTTAATGGGGCTTCACTCTAAAGAATTTTACCGCAGCTGTATAAACGAAGAAGAAAAGGAGACCATCGAGCACTATCTCTGCCACTGTCCAGCTATGACTTCTGCGCGCCACAAGCTCCTTGTCAAACATTTCTTCGTTTGTCTTGTCTAGATAGCCTCAGCGAATATTGGAAACCTATAAGGTTCGATCATCTGAAAAGGTGAACAGGTAGTATCGGAATGGGCTCATTGGCCCAAGCGTGCTTTTGGCTACCAGCAGCCGCATCTACTCAGCTCAAAATAAAAAAACGATTTTATCTTCAAGCACTTAAATACAATATAACTAGCGACCCCTCCGGCTTGGCACGGGTGCAATGCTGATACTAAATACACTACAGAAAAACTGTGAACGTTGTATATAAAAACATAGCGGCGTATAAAATATATAGCCTATGTGATTAAAATCGATCCAGTAGTTTAGATTTATTCATTACTGCCCGTGGCCCGCACGCGTTGAATTTGGAGTAAAACAATCCCCCTTTCCCTATACCATGAAGATTTCCTGCTATCTGCGGAATATCTAAATTCATACACTACATTTTTACTTATTTAATTTTTATATTTTTAACTATTTATTTTCTTTTTACAGCATATTACAGAATTTCTTTATAAACAACGTTCACAGCTTTCTTGTCATTAGACAATACAAACATGTTTTCTCTGGAGGTCACTCTTGAAAGAGCGACATACAGTTGTCCATGTGAAAAACAGTCAACGCTCAAATCTAAGCCTGCAACGTTGAAGGTTTGACCCTGCAATTTATTTATGGTCACTGCAAAAGATGTCTTTACCGGAAACTGTAAACGTTTAAATTGGAAGGATAAATGCGATGGTATTAGCGAGATTCGGGTAATCAATACATCTTCTCCGGTACCACATCCTGTGAGTATTGTGTCTAATATGAAAGTTTTCAATGATTTTACCAGCAAACGCGTGCCATTGCAAAGTTTAGGTGGATTCAGGTTTCTTAACACATTAACAGGACAACCTACTTCAACACCATTTTGTGAGGAGGGAGTCTAGACGGGTTCAAAGAGTTTAGAAATTTTGTAGGAAAATGAAGAGCTTTTCCCAAAGTGAGAACAGTCTCGACCGAGTGGTATATTTTCGTCGGCGCATTAATCTTTAAAACAATCAAGTTATTTACTTTATCTATGATATTTGTTCGTTAGTTGGTGACAGAATCGCTCTTTCTTTAAACCAAGATATTGTCTTATAACTTATGTTATCAATGTCAGGATAGACATTGTTGACTAACTCTTGGATGATGTCTATCAAACCGCAAAGGTTTTCTAGGTCAATCCTTCCCTCACTTTGTGTTAACTCTCCATTGCCAATTTTTAGCAGCATCTCTGGAAAAAGCCTATTCTCGCGTGAAGATGACGAAACCCTCATATTAGTTTTAAGCTCTAAATTATCGACATGTGGCCAAAGGTTGGATCTTTTTAGGCAAGCATTTATTTCGTCAACACGTGTTCCTCGAGTCACAACTGGTAGGTTTTGACGGAAATCTCCTGGGAACAGAATTGTACATCCACCCATAGGTGAATTTTTGTTGCGCAAATCGCGCATTGTCCTATCCAGTGCTTTCATAGACGTCTTGTTTGACATGGTAGCTTCGTCCCAAACTATTAATGAGCAGTCACGGATCAATTTTCCTGTATTGCTCTGTTTAGAAACACTACAGACGCTGTAATTATCATCGGTGGCGAATTTCAGCGGGAGCTTGAATGCGGAGTGTGCGGTTCGGCCTCCTTCCAAAAGCGTAGCGGCAATGCCGGATGACGCAACAGCTAACGCAATTTTTCCGATAGATCTCACTTTTTTTAAAAGCAGATTGATTAACAATGTTTTTCCTGTATCTCCTGGGTCATCAAGGAAAAACAATTTCCCTTCATTGTTATCAATTGTTGATAGTAATGCAGTGAATACTTTTTTCTGATCGATGTTTAATCGTGGCTCATCTTGAGCTATATTTTGTAAAAGTCTGGTTTGATCGTATGACGTTTCTCTTGTGTATTCGGCACTGTTAGTTAAATCTGAGTTAGTAGTATTAGGTGGCATCGGCAGCCCAAAATCCTTGATCGATTTACCCGAAAGTAATTGCACTACTTTGTTCAATTCCAATAAGCTTCGTAAAGTATGTTTTGATCATATTGCACATCATCTGAGTTTAACTCTCGCCCTCGCCGATGTAGCAGAGCTGCTTCTGATAATCTGTTTTCCCAGTGAGAATCGTCTTCCAAGAGCCCCATAGCTTTGTATGCTGCTTGATAAGTATTGTAAACAATACCTTGTACAGTTCTTAGGTGTGCAAAGGATGTCGGGCCTTTTACAATATTCAGTAACATTCTCAGATAAAAGCATTCGCTGGTGTTGGGGTGAACCACGTAGACTCTGCCAAGAGCATCCGTTTTTTTTACTCCGGGGAAACCATCAACCGCAGTACCCTGCTTTCGTCGTTGAAAAGTTTTAGAACTCTGGTTCCATGTATAGTAACCTGGAACTCTGTCATATGTCAGTGTTTTCGCGAAATCATCTTGAGCACATAA